CGAATTCATGAGATAAGATCAATGAAGTGGTGGTGGATGGCGCTAGGGATAACGCCACTCGACAAGAGCACAAGGGCATGCAAGTCGAACCACGAAACCAGATTTTCGGATGTTAGGTATTCCCTACCCCTAACAATCTGATTTCCGACCCACCAGAGCATAGTGAGGGAACAGAAGTGTGCGTGCAAATCCAAGAGAGTAGAATTAAAGTGGTATCGTCGGTAATGATAGCCTTTATTAGTTCTATATTGCCGCAGGACCTCAGCAATTTACTCTATATAGAGGCAGAGGCAACTGCATCCCATTCATCTTTTTTAGCTTAATGTCTCCGTAGTTTTCAGATGGGGGATATGACACATACGGAAGAACTTGGGGGGGCTGACGCAGTGGACCTGCTGGTCGGTTCGAAGAGGAATTACTTGCTGTTTATTGCTATTACGGCAAACCGTAAGTTGGTGACGTTGAAACAGAATTGGTTGCAAAATGATAACGATTTTCTTCAGGCACGTCCAAGTTGGGAAGCCTATCTATATGATTGGTAAACCGATTGCACACAATGCCCCTTTGGCTATCAATGCGCCGGCCTCAAAAAGCTTTGCAGAAGGACACTGTTTTAACTTCCATATAGTACTGAAGAATGAACATTACACATCAGTTTTATGTTGCTAGCTGATAGTTGGCACCTTTTCTTCTGAAACGATGTTGAATGAATTTTAGTGCGATCATTGTAGCTTATCACGTAAGCTTCTCCCAGGGTCGGGTGAAGCGAGTGCAGCGGTGAGTTTGAGCTGTTACAAAGTCTGCTGCGAGTAGCACAGCTCAATTTTAATGCCAGTTCTCAAGACTATTATCAGTATGTACAGGAATCATGCCCGGATGACCTTTTCAATGGGTAGTAACATTTTGCCGCAGCTGAATGCCAAATACCCTCTTCTGAATGGCAAAGCGCTCAACATTAGGAACTGTTCACAAAGTCCATTCAAGAAGTAGAGGTCCGATAGGACGTAGCTGAAAGGCGGTTTATTTTGTCATTTGCTCTGCACTAATTCTATGAGTTGAATTAGGCCCACTCGAGCAGAGGGAAGTTCTTTTGGTGAGCGAGGTGCAGCTCTATAGGAAAATATCGAACGATTAAAAGCACAGTCCAGCAGGGGGTCGTGGTTCTTTCAAAACTAATGGCACTAAAGATGCACAGGCCCTATTGGAGAACATCTAAAGTGTAGTTATAAAGAAAACTCACCTGGGAAAAGCCTAAAAAGGGCGTTAAACTCCTCAAAGATGGGTGTGGTTGGAGATTTCTCGGGACCGCCCACTTGCCAGCCGTGATTGGCTACGGAGGCATTCGTGCTCGTTTTGGGACCACAGGGAGTATTTGAACTCTGTCCTTTAAAGTAATCAATGTGATGGTGTTGATCCTGCCTGTTGCACTGAATTGTTTCTTTTTTTTGTTGTTGTGATGTTGTTATGTTATGTATAGTGTTATGTAATTATGTTAGTGTTATGCAACTGGAGCGCATTAAGTGGGGCAAGTTCAGACAACTCGTCCAACGCGCGTCTTCCCACATCTCTGAGCGCCAGAAGGGGAGTCCCTGTTTAAAGCCCTGTTCGGCTGTTTTCTCTTGTGGTTTGCGGCGTCACTATCGGTCAATTTTCGCCATAACCGTTCATTATCAAACGTAATTTACACCCCGAATCGTCCTTGGGAATTGTTGCTTTAACAAAGCCTGAATTTGCATGTCCGTGTTGGGCTTAATTTCCGTACGAGTGTATCAACCACTACTGTGTTGCTAGGTAGGTTGTTTTTTAGAAGAAACTTTATTAGCAGCAGATGCCAATCTGCAAGTGAACAAGAAGTTTCGAAGTCTCTCGAATGGTCGACTAGGCGAATATATGTATCAGGCAGAATGTGCGCGGCTACAACTGTTACTTTCATATGAATGTTTACGACAGTGAAAGGAATACTAGGGAAGAATTGAAATGAAAGTTTTGTGCGTTCAGAAAATCTTTGCTAAATCAAGGGATATTTGACCACTCTGGCTGCCATGTGGTTTATAGTTATGCTAATGTATTATCTATAGAATGAATGCAAAAAAACTCGAGAAGAAGGAGCGCAAGCACAATGAAAAATGATTTCTGACGCGCGTGCGCGCCAAAACGTCCGATGCGGTGCCAAATTTCTGACGCGCATGCGCGTCAGCCGGCCGTCAACGTGTTAATAAACAGATTTGTTCCTTAGGCCGATGTCAGACTTTGCGAATCGCGCGATTCGCTAGCGTCCGCGGTCGCGTTGCGGTACCAGCCAATTGAGTGATTCACTGGCCGCGACGCGACCGCAGACGCTAGCGAATCGCGCGATTCGCAAAGTCTGACATCGGCCTTGGAGGGTTTGCGGAACCAGTATTCCGTCAGATCCATGTTGCGCCAATATATGAGCAGAAGTAGCTGTTTGCGAACACTTATTGCTCTCGGTGCGCAGGAGTTGTGCGCAAACAGCATACCCGCCATGAGATCAGGGCAATAACTCCGTAACAACTTGTGCAAGACATTCATTACGAGTTCCTTCGAAGATATGTCTCCAGTTGAAAAGTGATACAAGATGTCGAAGTGTGGCTAGGTTATGTGCTGTCTCACAATTGCGCTGTGAGAATGGGAAAGGTGGGTCAGAAAGGCACACAGTTAACTGCCAACAATATATTCATCGTAAGTCATCAAACAGAATACAACATCGCTTCTCGAACTGGCGGCTGTCTGCGCTGATACCTGAGCGAAGTCATCTCTCGAGCGTATCGTTCGTGCTGTGAAGATAAGGAGATTAAGTGTCTAGGCCGTTCTAAGCCTACACAAATAACGATGTGAGTTGATTTAGGGGATAGGGCGCTGCACTCCTTAATGCCATGAACTCGGCAAAGTTATGCTGCATCGATCTTCTTCTTCTTCTTCTTCTTCTTCTCCCTTGCGTTAGTCCCGCGGACTCCCAGTTAGCGATCCCACGTTCAGAGTCCCTATTCGAACTAGCTTCTTTGGCCGAGGCCGTTCACTCCTCGGTAGCCCTCGCATACTGACCACAGAACTCGGGCGGGGGTTCTGCGCCACTTCCGGGTGACGTCCTAGCTTTATCACTGATTCTTTGACAACTTTTAGACATGATTGGTGTGACTGGGGTATTCATCAGCCGGCCTGTCAACCTGGGCCTGACGCTGGTACTAGAACCATTTTTGCAATTTTTGCAGGCATGGTTTAGACAAATAGCCCCCCAAGGGCACGCCCCCCCCTCCAGGGATCGAACTCGCAGCTTCCGGAGGCAGAAGTGAGTCTACCTCTTAACCACTCGGCTATCCTTGCCTTATGCTGCATCGATGTTGCACAATATTTGCTTTGTGTGCACGCGATCCACATATTTTGCCAGTGTGTCCAGCGAATTTCTCTGGAGTCCCTTTAAGCTAGGGCCATTATGTCCAAAGAAGTTCGAGATGCGCTTTCAACAGCGCTCTAGTTACCGTAGTTTTTGCTAACCCTATAGACCGCGAGTCGGTGCGCAACCACACATTCCAAATCTAGGTCCCTTAGAGAGGCAAGATATTTCCCAATGTCTCCAAAGAGCCTGCGGCTGTACAGAAAAGTTATCCAGGTTTTCGATGCTCCGAAGAAGCCAGTGCACCAACAGACTTTGCTGGATCACACATTCCTAAGGCCGCTGTCACACTTTGCGAATCGCGCGATTCGCAAAGTCTGACATCGGCCTAAACGATTCCTCGGGAACCCTCGGACGCTCCTTTAGGGCATCAAATGTTTGCTGCCATCCGGTAAACATCAAACGAAAAATGGCATCTGTGGGAGATGCAATTTGTAAGATGAACATTTTCGCACATGAGCCAGTCGTATGTACTTTTGGCTCATACTTTTCGAAAACGCCATGAATAATCGTACTTTTGTTACAGTACTTATCACTATTATGAATTCCTATTGCCGTAGACATGTTTTCAAGTTGACATTGATTCATAAGCCCTGCCCCCGCCGTGACGTCAGAGGTAGGACAATAATGTAAGCATAAGTACAACCCGAACTTCCATTGTATTGCTCACGGATATGAACAAAGGCTAGTTCGCAAAGATTATCCATAATTGCCGATGGTTACAAAGACCTAAAAGGGGCGCTGAACCTCAGAGAGTCTGCGAACGTCTACGGAACGTAAATCTTCACATCTAGCAGGATACTTTTATTACCCCAAACCTCGAAGCTGTGCTCCGTAACCAGTCATTACTGGAATAGTCGGGAAGGAGGGGACGTTCAAATGAGTGGGCCTTCTTACAGTGCTTGGGAACATGCCTAAGTTAGGGAGGATGTGAGCAGTTTTCGTTCTTCTTGGTGCTTCTCAACTTTGAGGCTTAGCCCTGTGGTCACCTACTAATGGTTTTTGAGTGCCCGAAGGTCCCTTTTCGAATGGGATGAAGACAACTCACCTAATGGATTGCTTAGGAGACCAACCTAATGAGCCGATAATTGGCACTTCAGGGTCAGGGGCGCCTTATCAATGGCGTGATAAGGTGCTGAAACACAAACACGAAGCACAGCACCACCTAGGTAACGGACGTGGAAGTGGTTGCACAAACTTGGTGTGATACTTTATCGTTATCGTCAGATTTTCGCCCTGGAGTGCTCCTCATTCATGCGGCCGTATTTTCTTATCTTACTGTATCATATCTTCCAATCTCGAGTCCTTCGGTTGGTAACACGTAGTAATGCAGCTCCACCCCGGAACCACTGCGATCGCATTTTACGCGATTACGTGACAGCGATTTCATTCATGTCACCCCTAACACGCCATAATCAAAGTCTAAATAGTACTTAATAATCGAATTCTCGAACCCTTTGAATAAATTTTATGAAGTGCGCGTTCAAAATGCAATCGTGTCCGCCTCCACACTCGCCGGCTGCATAAAAGGTCATGGAGAAAACCACGATCAACAAGCGACCGAGGCCAAGTTACAGTATAGCTCAACATGCTTGTTGCCTTCCTTTTTCTGGTAAGTCCCACTAAAATAGCGTAACTTATACTGATACGCCTTACTATCGTGAGCCAAGCACGTTTGTGAGGTTTCAGGTCCTTCAACTCAGCAGCGGAGTACAAGCTCAAGGTTTGCCTTTCAGTGAATATTTTGGTTTGGGAAGTTTCCACCGATTTTGACCCTCGACTTCAAAAATGCATATTACGATTCTTAACAAAACATTTTCGACCGAAAGCAAGACTATTACAGTCATTATACATTCGCCCCCTATATATTTGCCCGAAAGAAAGAGCGGTTTTTTAGATCTGTAGGTTGGAAGTGCTGGAGTATCTCGGCTCAAACTAAACATTTTTGATCGAAATAAATACTGTTGCGATCTCTATATATTTGCCTACAAGCATAGTGTTTGATGTGTCTAGAAGGTGAGAAAGCTGGAGCTCTATAGGCGAAAAAATTGGCGAAGGTCGTTATCATGTTGGATTTCAATGTTTGACCTCCTCGAAAAAGACTATCCACATGGCTGGAAAAGTGGCAGTTGGTAGGCAAGAGGTTCTACTGTGCAAGTGTTCGCAGCACAGTTTGTAGCTCAGCTAGTTTAATTTGTGCACGGCTGGAAGTGCGAGATGGGGCTACGCAACTGTGGGAGACGAACCGGCGGCGGGGTCAACCGTCGTGTTCAACCTTTTTCAGAAATTTTGCGACTCCCCCCTAAGGAGCGGGAGTTTCGATGGACCACACACCAGGAGCATAAAGGGACTCCCAATACGACCCCCTCCTCACTGCGCGACGCCACCTCGCATCATGTCCGGTTTCTATAGTATCTGTTACTGAAATACCAGGCGCACATGAGTTCGCCCTTTTTTTCGTTTTCCGCAAAACTGTCTCGAGTGAGAGCGCGCGGGGGGAGGGGGGGGAAATTGGATTATGACGGCAACCACATCAAGAAATTTGCATCCAGCCAGAAATTGCGACGTTTGCCTCTCACGAAATCACAAATGCAACCAACCTCGTTACGGGAAATTGCACCCTTCAGGCACCACTTGTCGACTTCTTTGGACAACTGCATATTTGGAAGCTCCGTCTCAGTTGCGCTTAACTAAGAAGCGACCTGTTCAACATTGTTTGATCAAAATCCTCAGTTAATCTTTGTCAGTTTTCGATATGCGATCTTCGCTCTAAACTTCTGCGAAGCTTTTATCCTCGCGACGACGTTCAGAATCGCGACAGCACAGCGAATTATTTAGAATTCGGACCAAATCTTCTGTTGATATCACAACCTCCCCGCTCATTTCCTATTAAATCTGTGGTTAATCAAGAAACTCGGGCAAGGCGGTGTGGGTATGTTGTATTGAAGGCAAAATTTACGATGAACGATGAAAAGTTGTCTTATTGGAAATGGAGGTAAGAAGTTAGCCGTGACTGGCGTGGAAGAAGAAAACCATCGAAACGGACGAGACTCCGAAGAAATGGACCTTTCCTTGTTGCCGTTATTTGGCATTGATGCGACTTACATCACTGTTACCCCTTCCAACATAGCCTCTACTCAGCGATGAAAATCACTCTTTCACGTAGAGCTGCGGCAGTGACTAGATTAGTGAGGGGTGTACCGCAACCACGCCAGAAGTGAAGCATATTAAATCCAGGTCAATCTTTCGCTGCAAGGGCGCGTGCGATCAGGGTGGGAGGTGGAGGTCCGCCTTTCTCCCAACCATGCAATTTCCCCTTCTTTGACCTTCGGTGTTATCGTGAATTCCTCCTTTGGAGACTTCAAAAAAGAGGGGAAAAGTGTTTCGATGCTAAAGTAACAGAGCGGGAAACGCGTTTCATTTCTTCATTCATTTTTTCGGCCATTATACAGAGATGAAAGCATAGATAGCTATTGTTGTACATTAAGTGGTAGCATTTTCCTGGAAGTGATACGATAAATGAGGGAGTAAAAAGTAAGGAACTGAAACAGGGCGGAAGTGGTGCAGTGACAAGTGGCGCGCTCACCACGCGAGCGGTCCGGGATCAAATCCTGGGTCGTGAGTCGCCCGGGCCAACCAAGCCTTCCATCCCTCCGGGGTCGGTTAATTGGTACCAGACTTGTCTGGGAGGATAAAAAACACTGTACGCCGGCCGGCCCCAAGTCATTGTTTAGGCCACATCGCATTCAAACGCGCCACTACGAATGTAGAAATGGAAGTAGAATGCGTGCCGTATTCTAAAAAGGGATTGAACATTGGCTAATGCTTTATGCTTTGTCCTTTTAACTATAAACGGCGCGGAAACTTTTTGACCCCCGCTGACGATCTAATTCGTAGACTCGTTGACAAGCAGAAGGAGAGCCTTCAGCATGGTTGCTCTTCTTAGTGCATTCGTCTGAATCCACTAGAGATGTTAATCACTTCTGATCAGCTACAAGTCGTTAGAGGCAGTTTTTGGTGAAACTCCAGTTCGGGGGGGCCACTCCAGTGCTATCTTATCCGTAGTACTAACGAGTGGTACTTTGGGCTATCCAACACCATGGATAAGATATCAAGTAAACGATTAATTTCGAGCGTACTTTCGATAAGGACCGGTAAATGTTGTCCATCACACATTCTGCCCACCTCCTATACAATTTTCTGCACCAGGTCATCCACCCTGGAGCTCCTCCACCCTTGGCCCTAGAAAGAGGTATCCATTCTCCGGTCCAGGACCGTTCCCTTGGACCATGGCAGGCGGAAAGGTTAAAGCATCTCACGGCTTTTTTCCCATTACACCGTTACTTATCAAAAGTATACTCTGAATGAGTTGGTTACGTATCATGAGCGCTGTCATCCTTATCTCGAGTATTGGAGAAACAATGGAGTGGCCCCCCCGAACTGGAGTTTCACCGCTTTATTCGATAAAAACAGCCACAGAATTTCATTTCAGATGCACCGGCTTGTTGTGAAGGTGGCGTTATGAGTCGTAACATGCGTCAAGTAGCCCTTGATGTTCATAACACGCAAAGGTTCGTGGGTTCAACAGTTTGGTAGAGACAGTTTACTTCGAAATACAACTCAGCGGATCATGGGCTATCATGGGAACTGTTGACGTAGGATCTCTGAAGGCGAGCTGATCAACCAGCAGTGGTTGAGCTATTAAATACTGGTATCATATTAATAAATTTCAGGAGTTTACTTGCGACCGGACAAGTACAGAATTCAGTAATGTCTACAGAAAAATTCCCAGAAGCAAAAAACATGCTCGCAATGGTGACTACCTCATATTTATAGGTTACTCCTATTGAGGACCGTGTAGTGGTCGGACAATATTTATGATCGCTTTTAGGAATACGACTGCATGTTAGAGAAAAAAGCTTTGGAAGATATCTCGAAACACTCCTGTCGGAAGCTCTCGCCGCGAACCACATTCAGTGACGTGAAACGGAACTACCGTTACATTATCACGACTATTCGGGACTACCAGCCAGAGAAGTCTCCAGAAGTTGCATTGATCGAGGTAAGAAAGCACGGATTCTGGAAGTGTGCCTTATTTGAACACTTTAATAGCTGCTTTCAAGGCTGCTCACGAAGGTGGGATCTTCACTTATACAATCAGGGATTTCAAGGAGTCACTCCTCAGAGGAAAGATTTCCAAACGATACCGTTCTTTTTGGTTCCGTTTTTTTAATTTTACGCCTGGCGAGTCTTACGGTCTTTGAAAATATCTGGAGTGACACTCCATAAGTGCTGTTTACATATTAGAACGCCAAAGTGGCAGTGTTTTACAGCTTCCCTCTCTTGAAAGAATGGAGAAAGGCAGAATCTCTAATTTTTTTTTACCAACTTTTGCCGTAGACCGGAAAGTGGTGTAGTGACAAGTGGCGCTTACACCAAGCGGTCCGGGGATCAAATCCTGGGTCGTGAGTCGCCCGGGCCAACCAAGCCTTCCATCCCTCCGGGGTCGGTTAATTGGTACCAGACTTGTCTGGGAGGATAAAAACACTGACTTGTACATCGGCTGGCCCCCGCAAGTCATTGTATAGGCCACATCGCATTCAAACGCCACTACGAATGTACAAATGGAAGTAGAATGCGTGCCGCATCCCAAAAAGGGATTGATCAACGGCAAATGCTTTATCCTTTTTCTTCTTTTGCCATAGATATTGAGGTGCCTTGTGTACATTCTGAGAAGCGAAATATTTATGGGATTATGAAGAACTTCTGCCACACGGCAAACACCTTGCCGAAACAGCTTTATTCAGCTTCAAAAAGTTCAGCTTCGCTTCATAAATATTTCAGCACACTCCTCCGGTGTTCAGGGGTCCCGAGATAAAAAATGAGACGCTACAACTCTGATAGGAGAGGTGGTTGGGGTAGGGTGGTCGGGTAGGGGTAGTAAGCATGAGTCTAACCTCTTAACCACTCGGCTATCCCTGCCTCAGAGGTATTCTTGAATCAAACTCTTATTTTGAAGGTGTTTGTTTAGATTGTTCAAAAGACCCGCTTGTGCATCAAAAGAACACCAAATCATTTTGGTAGTGGTGATCACAGTGGCTGCAAAGCAGGGTCAACCGTGACGTTCGCACTTTTTCAAAAATTTCGCGACCCCCTCCTTTAGGGGGTCTCGATGCGACCCCCACCACCACCATGAGACTCAGGAGGCTCCCCAATACGACCACCCTTCCCCTACCCGATCACCCCACCCCGACCATCACCCAGTCGACACAGCCCAACTCCGCCCACTTTCCCTTCAATGCAGCTTTCGAGCGGAGGTATGTGTATTAGTGCTAATAAAACGGCAAATTTTCTCTGCCCCCCCCCTTCACCTAAACAATCTAAATCACCTCACCATCGCCATTCACTCAACAAATTACTCTCCAGTTACTATCCCAATCATCGCTACCCCACCATCCTTCCCAAAACTACAAACGCGACCCCCCTCGTTCCAGCAATGCGAACGCACGGTTGACCTTGCTGAAGGGTGGTGCTAGTTTAAAGGAATCTTCCACGGAAAAAGCTCCGCCCTCATTACCACAGAAAACGATACCTTAAAGGAATCTTCCACGGAAAGAGTGATCATTTTGTCTTGTGTAGGATTAGTATTATCGAAACTAACGCTTATGTTCCGTTCTTTTTGCTATGCTCATACGTATAGCATACAT